GAGGCTCTTAGCCGTGGCCCACAGCTTGTGCAGGCACACTGAGAGTCACAGCAGTGTGACCCAGCCAAGCCCCAGCCTTATCCCAGGTGGCTTGTTTTGGATGTGTCATTTTTTGCCTGAAGTAGACAATGCCTTTAAAATGTCAAAACAAATGCTTTGATTCAAGGAGGTGATGTAGTTCCATGTGCAAAACTGAGACCCTGCCCAAAGATAGCAAATAGAAGTCTGCCTCCCTCTGCCGATCCCCAGCCATCTGGCTCCTCTCCGGGGGCCCCAGTGGGAACCGCACCTCCTTCTGGAGATGCCCTCACTTTATTCTCAGAGCAGCAAGCTCTGACCCCCACCAACCCACCCCCAGCTGGATGTTGTGTAGGGCTTCCACTCTCATCCCACCACCAAGGACCCTGTCCTTGGGTTTGGAGGAGTCACAGAAAGAGCCTGGCCTTGGGGGTGCTGATAACCGCCCCCCACCCACCAGGAGACTCTGGTTTATCTGCACCATTCTAACTTCAAAAAACGGAGAATGTGTGTCCCTGCATGACTCGTAATCTGAAATGTGCGTTGTAAGTGATAGTGCCACCACCACCCCACCCCCAGGTTGTCAGGAGTGAGCAGCACCTGGTAGGTAACGCCTTATTCTATCACTGTCCTATCGCGTCTCCCTTGTTATCACCACACAGCTGTGGCCGGGGCTGGGGAGCCGGAGCAACTTGGTGGGGAACCTTGTTAACCATGTTTATTTTTTACCCCCGTTAGCAAAAAGGAGTCGGGATGAGCGAGCCCCTGGTGGACTGCGAAGATTACCCCCGGTCAGACGTGGACCTGTATCAGGTCCGAACCGCAAGGCACAACATTGTCTGTGAGTGCTGAGTGACCCGCCTTGTACCTGATGAGAACCAAGGGAACGGGTTGGCTTCTGGTGGTGGTGGTGTTGTTGTAAGGTGCCACTGAGGCTCAACACGACCCTGAGAGCAAACAGAAGGCAGCCTTGCCGGGCCAGCATCTTTGCTGTGTCTGAGCCCACAGTTGTAGCCAGTGTCAGTCCCTCTCTTTTACACCGACCTAAGAAGGGTTCTAATTTTACAATTTAATTGTTATTTTTAATTTTTTTGCTTTATCCAAGTGTGTGTGTGTGTGTGTGTGTGTTTAAATCATTTTATTGGGGCTCATACAGTTCATCACAATCCATGCATACATCAATTGTGTAAAGCACACTTATACATTTGTTGCCCTCATCATTCTCAAATTTCGCTTTCCTCTTGGGTTCCTGGAATTAGCTCCTCATTTTACAATTTCATTGTTATTTTGAGGAGCGTTGGAGGTGCAGTGGTTTTAAGGGCTGGGCTGCTAACAAGCGTCAGCACTTGAAGCCCGCTAGCACGGCCGGGAGAAGTTGCGCCAATCTGCTTTCCTCACAGGACGGCTCGGCGAACCCCGGGCGGCAGTTCTCCTCTTATTAGGGTCGCTAGAGGCAAGATGAACTGGATGGGAAAAGGTTTGAGTGTTTTTTTGTTTAGTTCTTCTTTTCTTTTAATCATTTTATTGGGGGCTTTTAACAACCCATACATAATTGTATCAAGCACATTTGTTCATATGTTGCCATCATCTTTTTCAAAACATTTTCTTTCTAATTGAACCCGTGGTATCAGCTCCTCACTTTTTCCCGCCCTCCCCCACCTATTTTAACTGTACAATTAATTATGCCTATCGAAACCCACACTCATGGACCCTTGATAAATTATAAATTATTGTTATTTTCATATCTTACACCATCTGCTGTCTCCCTTCAACCATGTTTCTCTTCTTCGTCACTGTTGTGCTCTGTTTTTTTTTTTAAATACTTCTGTTGGGGCTCTTATATCTCTTATCACAATCCATACATTCATCCAGTGTGTCAAGCACTTTGCACATATGCTGCCATTATCATTTTCAAAGCATTCTCTTCCCACTTGAGCCCCTGATATC